AAGTATTGTTTTTTTTCTTGGTTTATAATTGCTTCTTTCAAAACGGAGAGTTGTGTAGTTGTGCCGCAATTAATGACCTTTTGCCATCTTGGTAGATTATCAGGAATCTAAGCAAGTGCTCTCAGTTTACACAGGGAGAATTCTTCATGGGGGGAAAAAACAGGATTTGGGGAAGACTTCTTTCATTCCCCAATAAGTAAAATGTGTTAAAAAAGGAGAGAGACTCAAATGTATTTTGCTTTGGAAGTCACATTTATAATGCCCAGTGAAATTAGGCGTGGAATAAAATGCAGAAGAAAATGTAAGTTGCTTACCAAATGGAAATCCCTTCTAATGTGGGAAAGTGGATAATTACTTTAATTGAGAGATTGATAGTGTGATGCAGTCTGAAAGTAATGGGGCTGATAAAAGGATTGGCTCAACCAATCTGAAAAATGTTCACTGTGTGTAACTATTATTCGCTTGTATTTTTACCGAAAACAAGAGATTGCGGAGCTGAAAGATGGGGAGGGGGGAGATAAGAATTTTCCTTAAACTTGCCTATTTGTAAATACATATTGTGAACTTATCACATCTTTATGCCACCGAGAGTGTGAAGCTATGGTTAAGTACAGTTTCACTGGACTTTGAGAGAAAGAGCAAGGCTTGTGTGCAGTGTTCCCTCTGAGCTGAGTTAGTGTGAGCTGGCTCACAGTTTTTTAGCCTCCGGCTCACACAATTTTGTCTTGGCTCAGGAAGGGATGGCTCCAGGGCAAACTAATGTATGCAGTAGCCAGATCACTCGCTCACAACTTTAATGCCAGGAGCTCACAAAGTAGAATATATGCTCACAAGACTCCACAGCTTAGAGGGAACATTGCTTGTGTGTTCTCTAGCTCTCCAGCACCTTTTCTGGAAAAGGGAAGCCAAAAGTGGAGTCACTGTTCCAAATGAGCACGCACCATATTTTATATATTGGCATTATGCCTCTTGCCATGTTGTTTTCATGCCCTTGCAAAGTAAGTCCCAATACTGGACGTTTTGTTTCCACTCCCAGTATCAGTCAGCATCTATTATGACCCCAAGATGTTCTGTGTGGGTGGTTCTAACCAGCCCTAGTCTCATCAGTGGACATACAGACTTGGGTTGCTTCATTCCAGTCTGTGCTATTTTGTAATTTCATACCCTGATGCTCATTTACCATTCTGTGGTACAGTCACCCTTTCAGAACTTTTGTGCTGTATGTTTGGGATTCTGCCATTGTGAATAATTTGACAATAGTGAAAACATGGCTGTCTCGCTGGCAGAAGAATAGGTTTTTATAGCCTGCTTTTCTCTAACCTAGAAGGAGCTGCGGTGGCTCAAGTGGTTAAGACGCTGAACTTCAGGCTGTGGAAGGTCGGTAGTTCAGCAGTTCGAGAATCAAGTGTGCTGCATGACGGAGTGAGCTCCCATCTCTAGTTCCAGCTCCTGCCAACCTAGCAGTTCGAAAGCAAGAAATTGCAAGTAGATAAATAGGTACCACTTCGGTGGGAAGGTAACAGCATTCCGTGCGCCTTGGTGTTTAGTCATGCTGGCCACATGACCACGGAAATGTCTTCGGGCAGCGCTGGCTCTTCGGCTTTGAAACGGAGATGAGCACCGCAACCCTAGAGTCAGATTCGACTGGCTTTCGAGCAAGGGAACCTTTACCTTTACCTTTTCCCCCCTCTAACCTAAGGAGTCACAAAGCAGCTTACATACTGGTCAATGGTATGGCCAGTGTTCTGTGTGAGCATGGAAGACGAAGAGGAGAAGTAAAAGAGTTGAATTTTTATACCCCTCCCTTCACTCAGAGTCTCAGAACAGCTCACAATCACCTTCCCTTCCTCTCCCCACAACAGGTACCCTGTGAGGTAGGTGGGACTGAGAGAGTTCCAAGAGAACTGTGCCTGGCCCAAGGTCACCTGGCAGACCTCAGGTGTCTCAAAGCAGCTTACAATCATGTTCCCTTCCTCTCCCCACAACAGGCACCTTGTGAGGTAGGTGGGGCTGAGAGAGTTCAGAGAGAACTGTGACGGGCCAAAGGTCACCCAGCAGGCCTCATGTGTCTCAGAGCGGCTTCCAATCTTCTTCCCTTCCTCTCCCCACAACAGGCACCCTGTGAGGTAGGTGGGGCTGAGAGAGCTCTGAGAGAACTGCTCCTGAGAGAACAGCTCTGAGAGAACTGTGACTGACCCAAAGTCACACCAGCAGTCTTCATGTGGAGGAGGAAATCAAGCCCAGTTCTCCAGATTAGAGTCCATTTCTCATGTCCACTACACCACACTGATGACTCCGACTTCATTACACATCAGCATAAGCAGTTTTTCTAATACGGATCTATAGGTGAACCCCATTGCATACTTCCTTCTGTTATGAAAAAGGTCCATCCAACTCTGCCCTCTGTTACAAGCATTTTAACCAGTCACTGAGATGCCTTTTGTTCTATGCACAGTAAGTTATTTAAGGAGTCTTTTCTGAGGGATTTTGCAAAAAAAATATTTTCCAAGTTCAAGTAGATGATGTCTAGCGGGTCACCCTGTGAAGTTAAAAAACTTTGGGAGGCAGAATTGTCCTTTGTAAAATATCCATGTTTTCATTTTCTTACTTACTGATGTTACTGTTCATCTGACCAACATTTTGAACAGGAAACACAACTAAAATGCTACTGGGCTTTGGAGGTCTGACGAGCTATAACAACCATCAGGTATTTAGTGACCTGCCAAGGAACTTGTTGTTCTTTGTCACTTAGGAAGCATGAAATGTGTTTTCATTTTCCAAAGGGCTTTATACAAGTTTAGGAGTGTTTGGATCCACGGCATAATTCCCCCCCGAAATTTCGTGATGCTCTTTGAATGTAACCGTTTTGCCGAGACATCTATCAATGATGACACCGGTGAGAAACTGGAGACTGATAAAGGGGTGTAAGAGTGGGGAAATGTTTAAAGACAACATTAGCTTTCAGTGTGGGGAAATCAAGAGACGCCTTTAAAACGTTCCTCCAAATAGCAAAGACATTTTTATTTTTAGGAAGGTGCGCTAAGAGAAAGTCACCTGAGTCCATGATTTGCTACCCTGAAGAGTCCTGGTAGCACAGAATACTAATACACACGGTTCACTGAGCTTCCCCTATTTCTGGAAATATTTTACCTTCAAAAAGGGGGCAGGAAGAGGAAGTGCATTGCTTCTCAGTACAGTATTTGGTGACCTGGCACCACACTGGAGCTCACTTCCGACCCCAAAGGATCTAACCGTGACCACTTCATTTCTTAAGTTAAGGTTTAAAATAATGGGTTTAAATGAAGGGTGGGAAGGTACCGGCTGGATATTAGGAAAAACGTTTTGACAAGAAGAAGAAGAAGAAGAAGAAGAAGAAGAAGAAGAAGAAGAAGAAGAAGAAGAAGAAGAAGAAGAAGAAGAAGAAGAAGAAGAAGAAGAAGAAGCAAAAGGAATGTCGGCAGACTGGAGCGGGTGTAGAGAAGAGCGACAAGGAGGATGATCGTGGGGCCTGGAGACCAAGGAGCCCTCCGAGGAAAGGCCGAGGGACTTGGGAAGGTTCAGTCTGGAGAAGAGGAGGCGGAGGGAGACACGATTGCCATCTTGAAGGGTTTGAAGAAGGGCTGTGTCACGGAGAGGAGGGCAGCTAGCCGTTCCTGTCGGCAGCAGAGGAGAGGACTCGCAAGAAGGGGTTTAAATTAAGGGCGGGAAGGTGCCGGCTGGACATTACGGAAAACGTTTTGACAGTCAGAGTTGTGCAACAGTGGAATCAGCTGCCTCGGGAGGTGGTGAGCTCCCCCTCCCTGGCAGTCTCTAAGCAGCAGGTGGACAAACCCTTGTCAGGGATGCTCTAGGCTGATCCTGCATTGAGCAGGGGGTTGGACTAGATGGCCTGTAGGACCCCCTTCCAACTCTGTGTGATTCTGTGATTTACTCAGCTGACTCACACAACTCAAAGGGAGTTCTGGCCCCGCTGGTGGACTTTCTGATGGCACCTGGGCTGGACTGGATGGGCCACTGGCCTGATCCAACATGGCTTCTCTTGTGTTCTTCTGTTCATAGAAGCATTCTGACCTTCTAGGAGGTCCCGGAGAAGATGGCGATATTAAAAGGGCCCTGCAGCAAGCTTGGCCACACATCCCCTGCGGTGCTGGCAGTGTTGCCGGGTCCATGTAAGCAGGAGCTCATTAGCATAACTCATGAGCATAACTTATTTGCATGTGCCACACCCCCTGACATCACCGGAAGTGTGTCGGAAGGCACCACCCACTGCTCAGGCTCTACTGGACTCTTTTGGATTCCTAGCTATTGGGGGGGGGGAACGTGGAGATCTGTCCTCACAGAGGAGGGAGAGCTTGTACCTGAATAAAACCTGGTCTTAAAAGTACCACTGGACTCTTTTGGACCGGTTTATTTGAAGCCCTTTATTTGCAACTTACCTGGCTGCTTCTTGCTCTGACTGAGGGCTGCTGGGAGCAGGGGGTGGGGCTTGTTGCATGTGCCCGCCCCCTGGGCTCTTTACTGCCGGAGCTCCGCTCCTGTGCGCTCCTGCAGGAAATGACCCCTGCATGTAACTCGGACCTGGGCTGAAGCAACAATGGCTGTGAGTGGGTGGGCCTACAACATTGGCTTTGACAGTCCGAGTCAAAGCTGAGCAACCCCTAAAACACTTGCTAGAGTCTCAGGAGCTGCTCGGTTCAGCTACCTCTCGGCCACCAATGCTGCCCCCTCCCCCCAAGGCAGCAGTCTGGAAGAAGAAGAAGAAGAGAGAGGGAGAGATTGGATATTTATTTATTTGATGGATGGATTGATTTATACCCCGCCCTCCCTACCGAAGCAGGCTCAGGGCGGTTTACAAGAATAACATAAAAACAATGATAACATAGATAAAACCATCTAAAAACAGTTCAAAATATAAAGGGCTAGCTGGTTGGAAACTAATACCTTCGGGATGGCGGCAACGGTCACTGTTCATCAGTTCTCTGTCTTTATCGTATATATAGGACTGGCACAGGCTGTTGTGGTGGAGTCAGGTGCCTCTTTAATGATGATGGTGGTGATGATGGCGGCGGCTCCATAGTCGAAGGCCTGGTGGAAGAGCTCTGTTTTGCAGGCCCTGCAGAACTGTAAAACGTCCTGCAGGGCCCTGATCTCTTCTGGGAGCTTGTTCCATCAGTACGGAGCTGCCACCAAGAACTCCCTGGCCTTGGTTGTTGCCAGTCCGTTGTCTTTAGGGCCTGGGAGGGTCAATCGACTACCTGAAGGAGTCTCAGAGCAGCTTACCATCTCCTTTCCCTTCCCCTCCCCACAACAGACACCCTGTGAGGTCGGTGGGGCCGGGAGAGCTCTTTCGAGGACTGCTCCTGAGAGAACAGCTCTGAAAGTACTTGTGACTGACCCAAGGTCACACCGGCAGCTGCCCGTGGGGGAGTGGGGAATCAAACCCGGTTCTCCCAGATTAGAATCCACACTCCTAACCACTAAACCAAATGGGCTCTCCTACACTAAACTGCCCCTCAGGGATTCTCCCACTACATCAAAGGTCCAGTCTGCCCCTGATCAACCGATGACCCATGAGCATAGATCTAAGTATCCGATGGTGCCTCACCTCCCGGTGGCCAGCTCCAGTTCCCCCTCCAACCTGGCTCCTCGGCAGAAGGATGCCTCAAGAGAAAATGTCAGCCCATCATCTCCGAGGGCCACCCCTGTCAAAACCTTTCATGAAATCTAATGCCAAATTACAAGGCAATCATCTCATCATGCCTGCCGCCTCCCATCTCTAAGAGCTTTTCCCTCTGAAAACCCATTGCAACATTTGCATTGGTCGTAATGTAAAACGAGACGCAGGCATAAATGATGAGGCTGGTAAGTTTTTTAAAAAAATTTATGGCTCTAGAAAAGATTTCCTAGAACACTTCCGATCTGTCTCTGCGTTGGCAGTGGCGGGAATTCAACTGGCGCAAAGCTAGGCCGTGATGCTATTTGCGTGGGAGAGAATGTTCAGGACCATGGACAGAGCTTTTCAACGGCCAGGACCGACTAACCTACCATTGTCTAGAAATCGCAGGGTAATTCTGTATTTAGCATTCACTCCACGTTTTCTCAAGGCATATATATGTGGCCTTAGGTAAGGGATAACAGATAACTGTAGAGCCGCTCAGAGACCCCCTGTGGGGGGTTTGAGCGGGGTAGCAAGTCGAAAGTTAAATAAATAAAATAAATAAAACTGGGAGAGAAAAGCACAGCTCAAAACCACATCCAAATACCTTGGGGCCAATGTGGTACTGACTGCATAGTCACCCCTGAACGGCCATAAAACGGCCATAAATCTATGCAGAAGGTACCATAAAATCCAACGATCAAAGAACTCGAAAGTGGCACGGAGTGTGGAGGCTACTATAAAACCCGATTATCCAAGGAAGTGAAAGCAGCATGCAATGCAGAGGGGAATTTCTGTTCCAACGTGGGTTTCGTAAAACAACGGAGGGGAAAGCCAATGCAGAAGCAGCCGCAGTATAGTCACTGGTTGATATGTGATCACTTCCTGTTCTACAATTCCTGTGGCAGTCTCCCTGTAGCTTTGGCCAGCAGTACATCTGCTGAAGTGGGGCACTGTAGGATTGGCACAGGACCATCTTTTGTTCATCTGTGGTGCTTGTGCCACATCCTTCTTCCCAGGATCACCAGCAGTGTTCCCTCTAAGCTGAGTTAGGGTGAGCCAGCTCACAGTTTTTTAGCCTCCGGCTCACACATTTTTGTCTTCGCTCACGAAGGAGGGTTCCAGAGCAAACTAATTTATGCAGTAGCCAAACCGCTCGCTCACAACTTTAATGCTAGTCGCTCACAAAGTAGAGTTTTTGCCCACAAGACTCCACAGCTTAGAGGGAGCATTGATCACCAGAACACACATTTCCTTTTTAGATACAAGTGGAGGGCAAAGCAAGAATGTTTCTGCTTCTCCCCCCCAAAGGCATGGCATGACACCCTCAAAGGAGGAACCGCACCGTGTTTCCCTTTTGGTTTTTCAAAAGCAATATACAGATCAACTTACCTGGAGGCGGGCAATGGCAAACCGCCTCTGAATGTCTCTTGCCTTGGAAACCCTGTGGGGTCACCATGAATCAGCTGCAACTTGACACCAAAAAAAGAGGGAGGGGTATTTAAGGTAATGCTGACTAATGTTAGGACAGTGTCTGGTGCTTTGACTTTCTGACGTGGTGATGCTTGCAGGGCTCTTTTTGTGGCAGGAACTCCTTTGCATATTAGGTGACAACACCCCTAATGTAGCCAATCCTCCAAGAGCTTACAGTAGCCCCTGTAAGAAGAGCTCTGTAAGCTCTTGGAGGATTGGCTACATGAGGGAGTGTGTCGCCTAATATGCAAAGGAGTTCCTGCTACAAAAAGAGTCCTGGGCGACACACCCCTAATGTAGCCAATCCTCCAAGAGCTTACAGTGGCCCCTGTAAGAAGAGCTCTGTAAGCACTTGGAGGATTGGCTACATTAGGGGGTGTGTCGCCTAATATGCAAAGGAGCTCCTGCTACAAAAAGAGCCCTGGGACACACCCGTAATGTAGCCAATCCTCCAAGAGCTTACAGTGGCCCCTGTAAGAAGAGCTCTGTAAGCTCTTGGAGGATTGGCTACATTAGGGGTGTGTCACCTAATATGGAAAGGAGTTCCTGCTACAAAAAGAGCCCTGCGTTTTATGGAGAGGGAAGGTGGCACGGTATGTCCTGATATTGTCAGATCTCGAGAGCTCAGCAGGGTCGATACTTGGATGGGAGACCACCGGGGAAGGCTCTGCAGAGGAAGGCCATGGCAAAGCACCTCTGCTTCTCACCTGCCTTTAAAGCCCCTTGCTGGGGTGGCCATGAGTCCGCTGCGACTTGACAGTACTTTTTACACACACACACAAAGATGTTTGTGTGGTTTCAAAGTTGTAAGAGAGCCAGTTTGGTGTCGCGGTTAAGTGCGCGGACTCTAATCTGGGAGAACCGGGTTTGATTCCCCACTGCTCCCATGTGACCGGGGCCTTAATTTCCTTTTGATAGCACACATTCATCCCAACCCATGAATGGCCTGATGTCTCCACTTGAAGAACCTCCTTCCCACAACAGTACAGGCTCTCCCTCCCTCCTTGACTCCCGCTCCTCCCTTCTCCCTTCCCACTGTGCGCAAACAGCACCTGTAAGTGATTTGGAGAGAGGATGTCATGTAAGTGCCTCAGTGGGAGGAGCTTAGAGGATAGGGAGTTGCACAGGAGAATGGGCGGGGCTGATGCCAAGTAAGGATACCGGCGGAAATGTACTTAATCTGCATAGTTTATACAGAATGCAAAATTCGACTTTTCCTGACACAGTCCTTCCAGTGCCCGACGTTTGTTTTTTTAGTATATTCCATGCAATCCATTCCAATCAATCCTGCCCATAAACAGGAGGCATCTCAGAACTTTGAAACCACACAAACATATTTGCGTGTGTGTAAAAAGTACTGTCAGGTTGCAGCTGACTCATGGCCACCCCAGCAAGGGGTTTTCAAGGCAAGTGAAGAAGAAGAAGAGATTGGATTTATACCCCGCCCTTCACTACCCAAAGGTGTATCAGAGCGGCTTACAAACTCCTTTCCCTTCCCCTCCGCACAACAGACACCCTGTGAGGTAGGTGGGGCTGAGAGAGCTCTTTTGAGGCCTGTTCTTGAGAGAACAGCTCGGAGAGAACTTGTGATTGATCCAAGGTCGCCCAGCTGGCTTCAAGTGGAGGAGTGGGGAATCAAACCCGGTTCTCCCAGATTAGAGTCCGCGCACTTAACCACTACACCAAACTGGCCGCTAACTCCGAGGGATCGTGTGACCTGGCGGTGCAGTAACCCCAGGCCCCTCCTGGTCTGAGACTCTCACTTCTCTCCAGACCCTGGAGAGACCCGACAGCACAGCGGCACCCATGGAAAACCCCTGGGCCTGACACTTCTGAAAACTTCTACCCTGGAAATCTTCAAGAGCCCAGTAGCACGTGCCTTAAAGACTAACAACTGGACTCTTGCTTTTCTGCTGCTACGGACAGACTAACATGGCGACCCATCTTGATCTATCTCCTGGAAATCTCGTGGGTCTTTATGGTGCCACTGGGATTGAATCATGCCTTATCCTTTAATCTGGAGATGCTGGGGATTGAACCTGGGACCTTCTGCATGCCAAGCGGACGCTCTCCCATGGAGCCACGGCCCCTCCCCTGCTACCCATACAGCTCCCAGTATTGTCAGATTAGTTTATCACACGTATTCCCTCAAAAGAAGCAGGGACGCTTGATCTCTCTATGGGAGGACTCTCAGACAGTGTCCTGCATGATGCTGTGTGACTCAGCAATGCCTGTGGGGGCCAGAGATGTCAGGAAACGGTTCTGTATTGTTTGATATGACTCTCTTCCTGGGTACATGGTCCTGTATGGGTGTAAGGCTACGACTATAAAGAGGACGGATCATGCTGTTCTTCAGGGCTTCTTCTTCTTTTTTTTTAAAGGTGCCGGAACTCTCAAGGGGGAAATGAAGTTTTTTTATTTTTATTTCATTCCTTCGATTTATAGACCGCTCAACCCCTAAGGGCTCTGAGCGCTTTACATTATGCAGTTAATACAATTCCTACCTAAGGCCACACACACATACAATGCAGGGAAGTGACTAACCTAACAGGCACCCTATAGCAGAGTCTTTTGTTGTTATAATCGTTCTGTGGGAGGTCTTTCCCCCAGTTCGGCGACGACGTCTTCCTGGCGCAGGACTTCCTCCTGTCGCTGCGGCTCCTCCCGGGCCTGGGCCAAGTGCACGTCAGCGCGTATTCCCACTGCCGGCCTCTGTCCAATCGGCTCTGGCCTGCTGCATCGCCCCGCCTCTGTGCTCCGCCGGCCCAGCTCCGTTCGCTCGCTTGACTCACCGACCGCCGCCATGTTCTCCGCCACCACTCCGCCGCTCACGCTGCCGCCACGCCACCACGAAGGACGGGTGCCCCCCTGCTCTAAGAGCAGGTACCCATTTGTCTACTTGCCCTTTAACGGGCTTTCGAGTCGCTGGGTGGGCGGGAGCTGGGACA